AACTTGCATTCTAGTTGCTGCATTTTTTTTTTCTTAATTAAACATTACAAAGAATTTGAAAACTGCACAACACTTGTTGATGGCCAATAGGAAACACTAATACTATGAAAAGTAATCAATGCTTCTACATGTCTTTGAAGACACTCCTGATTCAGAAATTGTTCTTCAAAGGCAAGTTGCCATATATTGTTTCACTGGGTATTTGTAAGAATTCTTCACCAAAACCCATTGTTTTTATTTAACACAACTCCTGAACTCAATAGCTTTTAGTTACATATTATTAATGCTTTTGTAATGTAAGTCACTGTATTTTATGAAGCCACTCTGAAATCCATTATAATGTACTGAAGATGTCACTGTAGTTTGGGATCCTTTCCAAAGAGAATTTTTGGGAATTAAGTTTACTGTGGTGGCATCTAGATCTAGAGACATGTGAAGACCTGATCATTCCTTGGGTTCTGTCCAGCCTGTTAGCTAGATCTTCTAATTGGCAATACCATCTTTTATCTGTGGTATGACCTCTGCCATTGACTTTGATCAGCACTAAGAAGCAGGCAGTCAAAATAGCAGCAGGCAAAAATAGAACATCATTATTAGAACTGCCTTCAATCAAGTGAATTCTGGTAGTTTCTCTTCCTCCCAAAGCCTCTCATGAAAAAACAAAGGTATTTGTGCCCTAATTGAATAATAATATGCTAAACTCCCTCTGAACTTCTATTGTTCTTCTTATAGCCCAACTCCCTGGATCCTGAAACAGGCCATAATGCACTTTTGTGTGGCTGGTAATGAACCATTTCAAATGAACACTGGATACTGAAGAAATTACATGCTGTGTAATTGATCTAAAGAACAGATTAGGACTGGTGCTATTTCATTAAATCTTATTAGCTCAGGCTCAAGTACTTAAAATTGCAGCTATCCCGTGTCGGATAGATTACACCCCTTGTCACATGGCAAGTGAGGTTTTCATCTACTAGATCACAGTTTTTAAAAAGAAACAGGCTGATGGAAAGGAATATAAATTAAGGACCATGAAGGCTTCATCTTCAGACACATTGAGCCCCAAACTACTCATTCAACTGAGAGAAATTCTTCAACACTTTCAAAATATGTATGAAGACCTATTGTTTGTTTCCGTATTTTGGTCTTAGATCACTTCTGTGGAACCTGAATTTGTTTTTTTTGCATGAGGAACAGCCCCTGAAGAGTTCTGGTGGGTGAGCACAAGAGAGATCTTACATGATTACAGGGGAATCCAGAGGGTCCTTCCAAAGCATCAACTTTTCTCTTGGTTTCTTCCCACTGGAGCTTAGCATGCCTTAGGAACCAGCAAGCCAGTAAGGCTAGAGGACAGTTCTGGCTGAGGAACAAATAGATTCAACCAAACAGAAATTAAACTCAGCTTGGAAAATAGTTTGTAGCTCTCAAAAAAGAAAGGGCTTTTTATTACCTTAGGACTCAAGCTAATTTTTAGGGACCTGATGTGCTTAGAAAAGTGTATTTTTCCTGGCTTGCATTTGACAACAGTGTGCTAGAATTTCTTACCAGTGCTGGTCTTTCTTACCTTCTATTCTTTTGTTCTGTGACCTAGTATTTAGCTCCTTAATCCCCTAAATCAAACAAAATAGCATAGAAAGCCTTTGATCTGAATTTTCTCCACAAGGCATATTACACTACATTGAATACTTTTCATGAGATCTAGAATGCTGCACTGTGGGAAACAAGACTGAAAATTTGAACACCATTAAGCAGGATTTCAGATGATACTAAGGGGTGAAATACTGACAAAAGAACCATAGACTTTGGTTAAAACAGATAATACTCAAGGCTTTTTTTATTATTATTCCTTTGATGAGAGAATATTTAAGACCCTCTCACATGCAGAGTCACCATGTTAGTACCACAGCCAAAGCAGTGGTTCATACAGATAAAGAATAAAGTAAAATTAATCCAACAGATGTGTTTTGCAAATATAAGAAATTGTTCCAGCAAGTCTTAAAAAAATGACAATCACATAAAATACCAACTCCACCTTTTAAGAGTTATTTATTTTATATTACTATGTAAATCTCAAAGCCATTTATCTACCACAAAAACCTGTTTTTCTTCTTATACCCTATGTCTGGTTCTTGCAAGCCTCCTGCAGCCTGGCACTCAAACCTGCCAGGACTGACCACTCTCAGTGTGGCCACAGTCAAATGCTCTGCACTGAGCACTGAGGGGAAAAATTCCAAGACAACCAATTCTCTCCCATCATGATGGTGTCAAGAGTGAAGCTTTGAAATCTCTGCCAGTAAACACAGATCTACCTGGTCCTGTCAGCTTCAAAGCTCCTAAAATGCCCATGTAAGACTCCTTTTAGGAGAGTAGATTTAAACCCTGGTACTCCTCTAAATATTCAGCTTTCCTTTTTCATTTACCCAGGGTTTGAAAGACTTGCTGCCCCACTGCTAATCAAGGATCAAATATAGATTGCTAATTCAACACAAGGAAAAATTAAAGGGAAAAAGAAAGCACATGGCATATTTGCATCTGTTCAGTACTGTAACTTTATATTCTAATAGGTACTTACTAGTCACATTGATATACACTTAATTTCCATTTTCTGCCATGTTCATATAAAATAGTTAGCACTTACTCACTGTAAAGACTAAAAATGGCTGTGAATGACCTGTTACTCCCCCAAAAATCTTACCTGGCAAAACCATCTTTTCCTTCTTTTGCTTTCTCACCTCCCTCAAGGAGTAAAACTCCATCAGAACAAACAAAAGGAGAATACAGCTTTCATACATTTTAAAAGGTGGAAATTGTATTTGGAGAGAAGATGAAAACTCACTCACAAACTCACTCCTGTACAGAGCCTTCAACATCTGCTGCATAGATGGTAAATATAATTTAAAATTGTCTGATAGCTTAACATAAGGAGGTTAAATGCAGGGCAGCTGTTCCCAATCTATATTTAGCCTGAAGTTTCCTACCTGTTCTGGACCTGCAGGAAGGCTTGAATACTGAGATTGTCCGTGATTTTATACAGTATTGCTTGATTTATTAAAGATGCTAGTCTCCCTGCAGGTCTTATTACACTGTTCAAAAGGTTGTGTACAATTTACCATAAACACAGAATTTTAAGTGCTTTTGTATCTAGAATCTCACTCAGAATTATTCTTTTGTGTATAGTCACGTGTAACCTGGTCCATGAGACATGAATAAAGATCAGCAATTAGCCAGAAGTAAACTCCAGGAGAATTGTCTTTGTACTGCACACGCTATTTCAAGAATAAAATTGGGGCAAAATATAGTGATATGCTTTCTAGGTACTAACCAAGAGTTGACAAGAACTGATGGATTTTGCATGTTAAAAGCAAATATTTTATTACATATCATGCCCTTGAAAAATTAACTTTGTTTCCATTCAATTTTGTTCAGCATGCCTTGAAATAGGAATGGCAAAAGTTATTCAAGGAACAGATCACCAATATTCACGGTACCACAGTGACTGCAATTACCTATTTTCCTGGCTCAGTAGAACATAACAATTTTTTTTAAAAAAAACCTATAAAATATTAAACAGTGAAATTAACAGATACCATCTGCATCTCTCCTTCAGTATGACTGGAACCATCTGTACAGAAAAGCTGTGTGCCACAGACCCACATCCAAAACCTGCTGATGACAGTGGTCATCAATTTTGACAGCCTTTTGGATAAGACCTTGTAACTGCTCTGTCCATATGCGCTGATCCTGAATGAACCACTGGATACATTATTAAATTCAGGTTCACAAAGATGCTGCCAATGGGTCCGCTACAGTAAAATATTTATATTTCAGAGTAACAGTATTTATATATGCTCCCTACCTTTTGCTCTAATTTGCCTTCTTATCACTAGGCTTGTGTTTGTTTTTCAAATGCTGAAAAGACTTTGTTGGTTTGTTCAGGAAATTTGTCTAGACGGTGCTCACAAAGCATATTTGCTCACATTTGACATTTTCACAGGATGGGAAACAAAATGGAAGATCTGAGTTTTTAAGCTCCACAGATAGCACCTAAGCCAGTCAACTTATTTCCAGAATAAAGAGTTTCCTTGTTCCAGGCAGTCTGAAACAACACAACAGTGACCTGCAGGACAGGGACCCACACACACTCAGGGCTTTGGGGCCAGCTGAGGCCTCCTGAAATCCATCCATCCATCCATCCATCCACCAGGACATTTACTGCCTCAGAAGAGCCAAATATCCAAGTGCTAAATTGTGATGCCTCTACAGCCAACAAATATAAAATGTGGCAATATAACGGAGCATGTGGCTATTTTACCTATTCAACATTTACCTGTGTCTAACTAGAAGAGGTCTCTAAAATGCTGCTTTCTGGCAGCTCAAAGGTTGAGAACCACCTGTAAACATTTGCGGAACAGTCTCTTTCTAGAAATAGAGACTCCTAAACAATCAACCTTGAAATGTATCATATATTATAATATATTTCCAGTGTTATTTACAGATCTTCTTGTTTAGTACAACGAACCAGACATGCTGAAAAGGTAGGATTTTTCCAGTCCTCTTTTACATGAAGTACAATAAAAAAGGCACATAATTATTCACCATAGGAGTTGTGCACCAGTCCAAAACTTAAAGCTAAAAAGCTACCCATCAGAGAACTCTCTTTATGAGGCAGTATTGGGATGTCTCCTTTGAACTCAGCATAGAAAGATCTGTCAATTCCTCTAGGACAGCTTCAGGAATCCACTTTCCTGTTATGTTCTGGTCTTTGCAAGACTTCCAAATCAACAGAAAACTCTACATCATCTGCTGGAGCAAGGAAGAGTCAAACAGGTCACGTGCGTGTCTGCTTTCCTTTTTCTTCTTTCTTTCCTTGGAATGCCCAACTATGGAGGACTCTTGAGAGTCAAGACCTGTTCAAACTAATTTGCTTTAAGACAAATGCCTCACGAGATATGGCACACTGAGCAGTGGACACCAGCAGAAGAGGCAGCTCAGCCCCACGGTCAGTGCCGACCATGTTTGATCCAGTTTCTAATCATCCATTTCTGCCCCGAGCACCTTTGTACCACTAATCTGAGCCCAAAATTTGCATCCTTTGACATTTCCACTTCTAGACAGCGGCCAGTGTCCCTGCTAATGATTGGACCATTCTGGGGAAAAAAAAAAAAAAAAAAAAAAGAAGGGAAAAAGAAAGATTAGAGGAAGGAACACAAAAGGTGAACAGAGTAGAAAAAACACTGCTAGACCTGTAAATCCTTAAAAAATATTATGAAATGCATTTCTGTATATTTCAAGTGATAAATGCCCCAGAAAGTGCTAGAAATTCCTAGAAAAACTAGCGAATACATAAAAAGGACGAAACAATTCCTTGATAATTGTACATTTAGGAATTGCTGGGAAAATCCCCCCAAATCACTAGAAAATCTCTAAAAAGTACTAGTGAATCCCTACAGAGCCCAAGAAATAGGAAATCCCAGAGACTGTAATAAAGCTTTTAAAATCTTAAAAATTATTTGAAGATTCTAGATCTTAAAAAATGCCTATAAAGGTGCTACAAAAAATCTGGAAAAGTTCTAGATGCAAAAACTCCTGGATAGTAAACAATTGCAAGCATGTTCTTGACAAACAGGACAGAAATTGAGAATATTCAAAGACGGGATAAGTAAAAATTCCTAGAAAGCATACGCTAAAATTTCTAGTAATAATGAAAGAATATTCCTGGGTGGCACAAAATCTATGGAAACATATCTATTTCTAAAAAAATACTGGGGGGGAATTCCCAGCATAGCCCTTCAAAGATCTTGTTTTGCATTAAATACTCTCTAGAGCATCATTCCTCTCCAATTCATGTCTTCAGGGCTTCCTGAGCTCTTCCATACCTGTGTGAAATCCCAGAACCTCTGTGCTGGCCTCAGGACGTCTTCACACTTCTTGAGGGTGGGTGTCCTGCCCTTGCCATCGTCCACCAGGCATTTGGAGTCGGGCAGGAAGGCGGTGGAGCCCAGCGGCCCCAGCTGCAGGACACCTTCCGAGCTGTAGCGGACAAGCTGGGGGAGAAAGGAGAGTTCTGAGGTGGGGAGGAGCCCTTTGTCCTGCTGCACGCCGGGTCTGGAACACGCTGCTCAAGGGCAGATCTTGGAATGTTGGTAAAACCTAGAACACAACGTTCCCTTCTCCCACACTCCTGCTCGCCACCACTCCCCACCCACTATTTCACTGCAAAAAGGGCAATCAAGGAAGTGAAGTAATCAATATGTAAATCATGCCCACTCAGCAGGAGTTGATTTAACAAGGACATGATGTCAATTTCGTCGTGCAGTTTGTTCTTAAGAGCTCTGTTAGAGGCTATTGATAGCGAGAAGTCTAATTAGTTTTTGTAAATAAACATTACTGAAAAAATCCAACCATGCAACCAGTATCCAAAAATATGAGAGGAAAAAAGAAACCATGAGGGAAATGGCAGCAAAATTGCTAACATATGCTTCAGGCCTACATAATAAAGAATGACACTCTGGTATTTCAGTTTTGTGTAAAGCACATTAAAGTGAAAATGCACGATGTTAATTTGGCAGCAGGCCAATACATCAAATCAGACTTATCTACTTCTCACTTCTGTGCTTAAAGCCAGAGTCATTAAACCAGCATAATATTTTGCCCTTCTTACTCTGGAAGTGCAACACCCAGGTGCCAAAAGACTGCAGAGTGGAGTCAGCTACGTGGCTTGTGTGCTGTGAGCCTGGAAGCTGCAGGGTAAGGATCTGAGCCACCAAAGGAATGCAATTACCACCCAGGAAATTCACTGCCTGTCCGGTCCTATTGCTGTTATATGGCTGAAATTACTTAGCAAGAAAAGGAAGAAAGGTCAGAAGTGCCTGCCATTTATTGGATGCCACTGACCAATGTGTGAGATATCATTAAGAGTCAATCAAAAAAACCCAAATTAGAGTCTGGCTTTCTACTGCCATCCTTATTAACCTCAGAAGAATCATGCTGTGAATAATCATTTCTCACTGGTGGTAAAAAGAGCATGGTCTACTTGCTCCCAGACCAGACGCTCTTTGACATAGTATGTGTTCATTTTCCCACCTGCCACTTCTGTTCAGAGCAGCCATGTGAAGCACAGAGGAAGAAGAGAGCCTACATCAGAGAGAGCAGAGAGATAACCAGATGAGGATGCTCTGGGTATGAACGGCGCCTTTGTCACAGCACAGTCTCTACACACTAAATCAAGAAAATTTTGGGGTTCTTTTCCACTCTGAGGTTAGGAGGGACATATGTAAAATAAGCTCAAGCAAGCAAATTAATTCAAAATATGAAGGGACTGCCAGGTCAGACAAATTACTTTGTTTTTTCACATCAAAAGGAGCTGGTAAAAAAAAATACTAATCAAACACAATGTTTTCTCTTTTATCATTTTTTTTTTAAAAAATAAAACCTGACTGTATATTTCACAATTATATTTAATGGGGTTTCATCAGAGTTCAAATGAACTGCAGGTATGGCTGAAACAATGACTAGAAAATGTATTCATCTTGCAGTCTTTATTATCTCTCTGTAGTCCCAAAATACCACCCCACAAGCTTGTTGGCTTTGCCTTATGTAGATAATTAGAAGTTCTGTTTATAATGGGCTATCTGCTCTGTAGGGTAGGATCAATTTTCCTATTTGAGATGGGCAGCATTTTCTGTACTGGTATTAAAATGGTCTAAAACACTCTTTGTCATCACAATCTCAGCAGCCAGAGTTACATTTGCTCTGCATCACAGTGGCCACGCACTTGGGAAAGACTTTGTTATAGAACAGCCTGTCAAAGCAGAAAGTACCAGTCCTGCTTAGGCTTTAGAAGTGGAAGATACATTAACTCTATTCTAAACTATCTGCAGTATTGAAAGTGGCAGCTTGTGTTACAGCTCAACAGGGTCAGGGATGGCTCGGTGCAGGAAACTGTTATCTGCACAATCTTGAGATAAATGGAACAACATGGGCTTAATTTCCTGAATCTGCACTTTCTGTCAAGTTTTTATGGCTGTTCCAACAGTCACAAAAACTTAGGCTTATTCCACAATAAAATACAATTCTAAAAAAACCCACCCACAAAGAATAATCTCAGTTCAGACCATATTACATAGGAAAGCTGTAGAGCCTGTTTCTGCAAAATCAGACCAGAAGTTAAGGTTCAAAAAACTACTATATTATTAATAATATTTCCCACCAAAGAATTCCTATCTTAACTTCCTAGAGACAACATAAACTGTGAAAATAAAATAAGCATTAAAATAAGTTGCTTATTACTACAGGCTAGAAAGCAGGAACTGAGATATGGCCAATTAAAATGATACCTGTGTTCAAACTTGATCTAAAGTATCCACAAATAAATAATCCCTGAATTTGTGTTAGGACTGTGGGCACGATATGTCATGTCAAATCCATTCCCAGTGCCAACCAGCCAAAATCTAATGACAAAGTCCCCTTTATTAAGAAATATTAAATCTTACTAATTAAAAAAAAAAAATCCGTGCAAGTTTTGATGGGCTGAGATCCTTAGATATCCACACACTCCAAACTGCCAGCTGCAGAACAGAAACACACTTTTATACATCACAGGGGAATGGACCTTCACTCAGTTTTTCTCTTTTATCTAGGAAGAGCTGAAGGATTCAAATGACACTGAAGCCAAGTGCTCTATTAAATACTCAAGATCTAATCCTGATACCATCTGCTATACTGATGTAAGACAGGATAGTTTTCCCTTCAACATTCAGAAACCTGAGCAGAATGCAAAAAATGTCAAAGGTTGTTTATCAAAGCCACCACACCTGGATCAAAAATAGTGCTGCTGCCTATGGAATATGATCCTCCAGGAATATTAACGTGGTAAGAAAATGGGAGCTGTAAACTGGAGGATTTGACTTCAAAAACATCAATTCCTGCTAATTTCCTGTCAAGTGAAAAAAGCACCAAAGAATTACAGGCAATTGTTTGTAGGAGACTGTAGCTTTCCACACTAAATGTAACCTCTCTCTCTCACTCTTGTTCTCCTGGCAAAAGGAAGTCTTTAATGGTTCTTGTCCTGCAGGTTAAGGCAAGCTGTCAGCGGACAGAGGAACTGAAACAGTGAGTGATGCAGGAATCCCAAACACCCAACATCTCCAGAATGTCTGTCCCCTCAAGGCAAACAGATCACAAGTTATCAAACTTCCATTTTTGCTCCAGAATCCCACCCACCGCTTCCTGCAAGTGGAGAAGCCACCAGTTCATCCACCCTGCTGCCCTGCACGCAAATCTGGGCAGACACAGCTCTGCCCAGCAAAATGTGAAATATCTGCCCTCTAGCAACAGCTCGAGTAGGGCCTTTCATCTCCTCGCATTCCTTCTGTTTGTGTAGCTGCCAGCCCCAGGAATCTGAGCACGGAGCTCTCTCTTCCTTCTGGTTGTTCTCAATGCAGAGGGAGCTCTCTCACAGGTGCGGTGCCTCCCCTCTCTCTGCTGTGAAAGGGAAGGGAGGAGGGTGGAGAAGGAGGCTGTTCACCGTGGCCCTTCCATCCCAATATGCCATTTCATTAAGTTCTCCTCTCTTTCACATATCATATAATCAGCTCCACATCATGGCACTCAAGACAGACTCTGAGACAGTGAATATTTCCATAGGGGCTGTGTAAGTGCTCTCAGATCGTTCAAAACCTGCATGCCCTGTAACCACTCTATGAAGATTCTTTTTTCTTTTTTTTTTTTTCTTAATTTATTTTACAACAAAAGTGTATAGAACCACTGGGCTTTGCAGCTGATTTTACAATGGAGGCCACACACAGAGGCAGAGCAGTTTAAGACCCCAAATATATTTCTTTATTTACAAATCTTCTGTAGCCCTGGACAGCTTCTCCCAGCAGTATTTGAAAACATTTTTTCCTGAAAGCCATTAGACTCAAACTTCAGATCCAATGAACACATATAAAAAGGACACTACTTTTCTATAAAATAGGTTTTGAAATCCACTCAGACTGATGCAAAGCCTTGTCTGGATATTCTTAGCTGTTAGCTTACAATGACTTAGCTCAAGTCAAACTCATTAAATTAAATTGATGTAAACTCAGGGTAAATGCATTCCAGAGCATCCATAAAAGAGCTTGTCCCTGTTTGAATAAAGAAATTTAAAAGCTGATATCATTACAAAGAGGTGATCTATCATGGTGAAAACTGATCTTGAAAATACACATAGGGAAAAGCATTTTGGTCATGGAAAAGTCACAATGGAGTGGTTTTGTAATGCAGGACAGCAACATCCAAGGGAAGCAGAAGGGTAAGACATAGAGAAAAAGAACATTTAATCATGGATGAACAGTAATCTTATTCCTAACTCAGCTTTCCTTAAACACCTGCCTGACTGGGGTGGGTTTCAGTGGAACCATGTGTACACTAAAATCACTATAATCTGCTTGTCAGAATTGAAGAGTATGAAAAACAAACAAGGCTGCAGCTGAACAGAGAGAGGCTTTCACATTGGTAGGACATATGAACACCATTGATAACCCAACTGGGGAAAGCGAGTTCCATATTTATATTAATTTATATTCAGTAGGCATGTACAAATAACCCAAATCTCAGCTCACTAGCGGTATTTTATGTCCTATGCTTGAGATGAAAAATGTCAGAAATGGAAAGCTAAATGCAGCAGACAACTATGCTCACCCAGGCTGATTAGAAGAGGGGTTTTAAAAATGTTTATTTAATATATTAAAACGCTTGCTGTCAACACCTTTCATGCTATGTGCTTGAATATCCTTGATTAGGGTTTGTGCAGCTGTGGTTCTCACACTGAATTAATTTTGTAAATTGTGGTGAGATGATAGAAGTTTTCCAGCTGTGTAATCATTAATTAACTTGGCTGCATTTGAGTGGCTCCAACCCATGGCTGTCTGTGAAATACTCAACTTAGATAAAACATCACCTCTGCCTTCACTTGGTGTTTCTTGCAGAATGAAAACTCTTTTCCTGTTTTTTATTTGTTTGTTTGTTTGTTTTAAATGGAAATGTAAAAAATTCACTGTAATTTATGCCCTTATCTATTTTCTTCCTGAACTCAAAGCCTACTCTGTGAAACAGGAATCATGGAGGCAAACAAGTAGGTTAAGGACTTAAATTGCAAAATAAATTACAGTCAGAACTATTTATTTCATTACTCTTCTAAGTGCTAGCACACTGATAGAGATTAGATGCTGCTAAGGGACTTTCTGGAAGGACTTAAATTTCCAACTTTCTCTTCAGATTAGAATGGAGCAAGAAACTGAACTCTCTCTGAGCGCTTTGACATCTCTAACGAGAGTCTTCTTGAGAAGCCAATTTACATCTAATTAAGAAGTGCTGTTTTGTTACCTTATTCAAAGGCTGTTCCTTCCACCTCTACTAGGAGAGTGTCAGTCAAATACTCCATAATGATCCTGCCAAAGGTGGACATTATGCCAGTAGGAATTACTGTCTGTCTCACTTTGGCTCTGTGGTGATGCACGAGCCAGGACTCCCAATCAATATATGTATGACTGAACCTTGGATAATTGTTAAGCCTGATAAGGTCAGAGTTTATTTACACATGAGAATGTTCATTAACATAGTTTTGATTCAGACGCTACTTCAAAAGAAACTAGAATTGCTTTTCAGAAGAAGCTCAAGTCCTGGATTTAAATAATGTTCAACTTGTAAAAGTAAAATCACTATGAGCATGGAAAGAAGAAATGTCACTTTAAAATCATCAGACATCTGTAAGAAAATAATAATATGCACAGGGACTGACAAAAAAAAAAAAAGAAATCTATTTTAGAAAAGTCTTAGAGGATATTCTTAATTCCCTTTGAAGTTGATGTTAAATATGTGCTTAACTTTTTGCCTACTTGGGGAATCAAATCAGCAGCTTGATAAATAATTTCTGCCCAGGAGCCTGTTGGACCAAGAAACAGTTAAATTAAAGAGGTACCATGAATAAGTCATGTCATAACAAGAACTGCTCACTCACACAGACTACCTAAATTAATTAATCTTCAGTGATCCCTGTTATTTAAACAAAGTAACGTGATTTTTCTGTTTTTCTAACTGGCAACTTCGAAGTATGGAATCACACTCTGGACAACCTTGGAAAAGGCACCTGACAAGGCCAGAGTGAAGCCAGACATTTGTCTTTGCAGCTTAGGAATTACAGAGCCAAACTCAACCCAAATACACCAATTTACTCTTTGCTTCTTCTGAATATTCTCTAAGTTCAAGGTTCCTTACCAATGATGGGATTTTCACCATTTACCTGGGAGGACATTCCATGGCATGGATAAAGGATGGCTTTGTCATCCTCTTCGGCCCCCTGGTCCAGGCAGTAGCCGCTGGCTTTGCTGTTGCGCACCTGTAACCAGATGGGAATGAAACCAGTTCAGCTGGAAATGAATCCCTATTTTAGTCCAGCCCAGCTGAATCTCAGCTGTGCTACAGCTCCTGGAACAAGCACTGTGTACAACTCTCTCTGACACACACATGCTCCTCCTGCAGCCATGACAGGCTGCCAGCAGTGAGTCTGCTCCAGGAAAAGATATTATTTGGACAACCTTCTTTACACACCTTGGGTCAAAGTTATGTTTTTGGCAATTACTCAAGGATCAGAACTTCCTAAAATTCACCCTAAAAGACCCAGGCCAAGTTTTGCTCCAAATTGCCATTGTGACAACATAAATTTTGACCCTGTATGTTGAGAATGTGGCTTTATAAACAGGATAGCAGCTACCCAGGTTTGGTGTTGGATGTGACATGCTTTTGTTTCTTCCTTTTGCTGATAATAAAACAAAAAAGCATGTGAAAAAGTTTTCCTTAACTGAAAATATAGTACATTGTTATGTACAGGAGTGACATAAAGCACATTTTATGAAAGGGCACAGGTTCAGAGATTCAAGGAAGTAAAAAATTCCTGTGCCTGCCCAGACAAGGAGAATTTGCAAGTCTATAAAAACTGGAATGGAGCTCTAGTGAAAACCCTTCCAGCCTCTCTGTTGAGGCTGGAAGCATTACACGTGTATTTTGAACATAGAAAAACTTTACAGGTATTGTAAACAAGAAGTTATTTACACAGACACCTCAAAAGACTCAACAGGTCAGTTTTGGTTTAGACTGTGAAGCACCTGTCTGGCCACCCCCATAATTTAGAAACAGCTGCTGCATAAGGTGTCAGAAAAATCCCAGTATGTAATCCTTCATCTTATAGTGTACAAGCATAACAGGGAATCTGATTGGATAAGGGGGCTAACCAACAACTAAATTTCAGGAGGTTTATTTTATGGTTTGGGTGCTATAAAGGCTGAAGAAGATGAAGACAGCTTTACAAGATGGCTTTTAAAAAATGGGAATTGGGTCATAGGAAATACATTTTTTACTACTGTTTCAATCTGTTTCACATACTCAATACATTTATTTTCCTTGAAACTCACACAAATCCAGACAACTTTTCCTTCAGGAAAATAACCAGAAGAGAAAGTACTTAACAACAAGCTCAGTGTCATTTAGAATGAAGCCTAATGTAAGACTGAAAGGGACCTAGGTTGGTTTCTAGCAGGTAAGTACCTTGTGTGGCCCTATTCTATTAAAAATATTAAAAATTTTGATATTTGCATCACTGAACTTCCTGTTTGACTCAAGTACCTTCTATGTGACAGCTCAAGAGGAGCAAACTTTGTTTTAGAGCCCAGATTGCTCAAGGTCTGGTATAATTGACACAACATTGGCACTTCTGCCAACGTTCTTCACTGTTAACGACCTTCTCAGAGTTGACAGATACCAACAGCTCCTCTTGAATTTACCCAAAGTCTTTTCTCAGTTCCTGATGGGGATAGTAACATTAGGATGCAAAGTGATACTATGAAATAAAACTTGCACTTTGTATCAATGTCTCAAGTGTCTGACTTATTTTTATATGAAGTCAATCAAATGGAAGAGAAAGGAACAGTCTCCATTTAGTTGTTTGGGAAAACATATTGCCTTCGGATTTAATTGCAGCTCATGAACACAACTATTTCAGCTCTGTTGAAACCACTGATGTTTTCTTTACGATGTCTGTGGCATCTTATTTGGGAAAATGATTGCCTCAAACTTATGTTTCAGTATTTTAAAATGAGAGCTAAGGAGGTTGCAGGTCACTGTCAGTAAGGATGACTTCACCCGCTGCCCTCCAACGGGGAGGAAAGGAATGGGGCTCCTCAAAGCCACACTCCTTAGTGTTGATTAAAAAGAAGGGAGGGAACTTTTGTTGCCACTGCTGTGCTGATGTGTAATTGCTCTGTACATCCTGATAGCCAGCTCAAAGGAGAGGAGTGCTGGAGTGCAGCTGTGATGTGTTTCCAAAGCACACTGTACCTCTCCGTAAGTGACTGTGTTATTGTAAACCCTCATCTCAGGGTACACGTTCTCCAAGTACCACTTAAAGCTCCGGCACTGCAGACGCTGTCGCAGAGCAATTCTTTCAGAAACGTCTCCAAAGTCAACTCCAGGGTTCTGCAAAGCAGAAAAAGAACAAAGAAATCTCACTGCACTGGCTTTATGGTTGCTATCTTTACTGAAATCAAACTGGAGCTAATTTTGTATACCAAGCTGTATTTCCCTCTTTTCCTTCTTTTGTTGTAAGCAGCTCATCAAACAGCTGCTGTTGAGTGCAGACAATAAATATTAATGAAAGCCAGTGGAAAAAGGAGCATAAAGAACAGGCAAAACCCCAAAATAAATCAAAATAATAAGAATACAATAAGAATGTTGTTACTTACAGCAGTTCCAAGTGTTTGCAATCAATCCTGAAGCCTTTGCTTTCAGAATAATTTAGAATTTAGGCAGTAATTCTGATCTAAAATATGGCAACTTGGTCATGCTTTACTCTAGTAAGAGACTTGAGTATTCAGTAATGTAAATGATGTCAGAACAGATCTGTTAAAACTTCAAAGCTGCTCAAAAAGTCATTAAGCTCCACTAAGCATTCCTGTGGACCAGCATGCAGTTTATGCTAGAACTCGAGCTCATTTGCAGACTTGAGCCATAGAATGCAGCTAAAATCAAAACCTTTATAATTCTACTTCAGAATTTAATTCACATTTAAATACAAATCCCATGAAAGATAGAGGAAGATTCAAGTCAATATGAACAAAATCAGCCATTTAAAACTGGTGGGTCCTGAGTTAGAGTCTGCTGATTTGAAGTGCTATAAATCATCACAGTTCAACATTAAGACAGTAAGTTACCTCATCCAAGAACCTTTTCTGACACTATATTAATCAAATGGACTGAAACTGGGGAGTTTTGCATGAGATCGTTCTGATGTGCCTTGTGCTTTTCCTCCAGAGGAATATCTGTACATTTTACAGATTTTTTTTCTAATGCAGGGCTACAAGACAGCAGCAAATCTTAGCTCAGGGTTTATTAAGATCCCCAACAGATGCCTGGTTTTCAGGAGAGAATACAAGTGTAATACTGAACAGGTTTTCCTGTTTGCCACATAAAGAGTTTGCTGTGCTCACTGCTGCTTGCTGATGCACGTTCTGTCAGGAGCCCTCAGTGCAGCATCCATTCAAATGAATGTTAATTTACGTAGTACTTGAGGCTGCGTGGAAGAAGAGCAATCCTCTGAGGCACTCAGTGCAATAAATCATTCAGTGTTAGATTCCTTTATCACTAAAATTGTCGAGGAATAAATCCTGTGGTGGGGACGTACCAAATATTTTGGTTAACTGAAATAAAGCTGTGCTGACCTGCTGCTGAAGGTTATAGGAACCTGATCTTGCAGGTGTGCCCAAGGCCATCTGCTGATCTAGATAAACATTATGCATGAATTCTCAATAATCTGTGAGTTGTGAAAAAGATGGTGGGAATTATAAAAGAGTTAATTTGGATCGGTTTTGTAGTGTGGGAAAATGCATGTGTTTTACCTGCCTCTCGTCTGCCCTATTTAAACTAAGGCAATACAGAGCCCTTTTTTGCAGTGCTGATTCTACAGAGCACAGGAGCAGCAAATTGAGCAGCTATGAAAACAAATTGAGCTGTGCTCACCCTCTGTGCCCCCTGCAGTACTGTGGGCAGGTTACAGTGTGATGGTACAGGAATGAGGTGTCCACAGGATTTACTTGGTGGACACATTCTTTTTAACCACCTAGCAAGGTTTCTAATTCCCCTGCAGAATGTTTTTGTGATGGCTTATGCCAGTACAGTACTTCTGTCATCTGTACTGAATACTACAGTGAATAATGTCATGAACACTAACATCAGCTTCCTTTTCATGAGAGCTAATAGGCTTATTTTTATGATGCACATTTTATTCAATCAATCAATTTATTTTATGGAAAGAAAATTTTAATGTTCAGTACTTCTGCTGATTTTATGTCTTTTATTGTAGATGTGCCTGGGTTTTTTTAACAGCTCTGCTATATAGCTCAGTGCAGAAAACCGCATCAATAAGTAATCTGGAGAGATTAAAGGAAATCATGTTTTGGTGTAAATGCTTATTTAAATATCATCTTTTCTCAGAGTTCATTTGCACATGTCATCAAGCAAGCAAATTTGCAGAGTTTAGCTTTTCATCTCCTAATTGAAAACTGACCATTTTAGCAAGTGTATTTTATGTGTGGAGACAGGGCCAAAATGCCCATAAATCTTTAATGGACACTGCTCTGTATTCCTCCTACCATCACAGAAATCTTGTGTGGAAAAAGTGATGCAGTACTGCTTTTTGTTAAGGCAAAATAATTCTCTGCAATTACCTCTTGTGCCAAAAGAAGTCACCAAAACCACATTTTGGAGACCTTGCACAGTGTCCAATATAGCAGTAAGTGAATTTAGACCTGTGAGAATATCTGATATATTCACATGGACAAGGAGGAAACACTGCTCTTCCAGGTATGTGTATTTTAAAAACAGTAAGAGGAAAGAACAAAAATGGAGTTTCACATATTAACTAAGTACCAAAATATGAGTAGATGTTTAGGACAGACTAAATCTAGTGAAGTCTTTGACAAGACTCCCATGACTTTAATGAGCTCCAGGTCATAACTGAATATTCCCAGACACCTCTGGGTTTGCATACTTTCCTGTTCTGATAGGAACATTCCTGTTCCTATTTGCTTCCATCAGCTCTGGGCAAACCCCTGCTATAAGGGTTAACTAAACCATTCTTACCTACAGATCAGTGTATGTAGCCCCTCAGCTGCTCTCCCTGTGCCCCTTCACATGAATAATTTGGATGCAAACACAGCCAAGGAACACAGCAACAGCCAGCTTCCACCTGGCTGGGATATAACATAAAACTCTTCTCTGCAAGAATTATGCTCAGTGCGGATGTAGCATGTGATATACTTACAGAACAAAGTGATAAACTGAACCTACAGTTTATCTAATATTTATATTACACGGATTCCTAGAGGCCCCCACACGCCATCTACAATTTGTATGCGCAGTGAGAAGCAGAACATGCCCACATTGCATCTCTCAGCCTGTGGACAATAAAGCTATTTAATGTTTGATTCTTTTATTGCATACTTGCAATAAAGTGAGGTCTACTGAGTCTCACGATGAATGACGATATTTATTTATGGACATTTCTGTCGTCCCTACCGTTGTAGCATAAGAACACCTCAGAGTTTAACGGTGCCCCAAATTAATGACTTCTGGGGGAGCACATAAACCTGAGACATTTTGCTCTGGTTAAATGACAAATCTGTGTCACTGTGTACAACAGTCTGGACTGAGAGCAAAACTAAACTCAGACTGAGGAAGCAAGTTCATATGGCAGAACTCTCCGTACTGAGCACGCAGCGAAACACCTCCCCTAAGCTTAGCCCACTTTGTGCTGTAGCAACACCCTTCACCTCCAAGAGCTAATGAGGACCAGCTACCTGTGTTTCTGTTCAGGACAGAGTGTGAGCTGTACTTACTGCCATGGGGATGTTCCAGGCCATGTAAACGTGTGACTTGAAGTCATCCATCCAGACCTCGGCGGCGCGCAGGGCGTTGCGCTTTGCATAGTAGTCGATGTCGTTGTTGTAGGGCTTCTTGGTGCGCTCGATGTGCGCCACGCGGGAGCAGGGCAGCACCTCCATGCTGCCCCCGCACTGCCACACCTGGGGGAGGCACAGAAAACAGACACATGGATTCTTTTTCCCCTTCAGAGGCAATGCAAGTGCTTCTTTGCAGATGCTGTGTGTAGGGTGTTTGCCGGTCAGAGGTGAGGGCTATCGAACGGTTCCAAAGGATTGCCCGATTTACCCCTCGCTCCACATTGCAGGTGAGTCTGAGAGGGATGCACATTAGGTACAGAGGTTTACAAGCCATAAAGAGACAAGGCCTTCACCACAGTATCACTGCTCTTGGGACCATCAGGCAGAGAACAAATTGTGGGGTGGTAACCTCTGCCGTGGGTGCTGTTTTAACCTAGCGTTCGTTACTGAAACTTCAGCAAAAATCAGCTGTGTCATCTGGCTGTGTTTGACACATAAATGGGGTACTGCAAAGGGCTCTAAGGTCACCCCAGAGCCTTCTCTTCTCCAGACTAAACATCTCCAACTCTCTCAGACTGTCTCCACAGGAGAGGTGCTCCAGACCTCTCATCATCTTATCTCTCTCCCCCTGAGCTGATGAAGAGGGTTAAAAGGGGCTGAGTGGAGACCCCAGCACCCAGCCTGCCCAGACACCATGGAACTCACACTGTGCAATTTTCTCCCTGCTGATTATTTACTGTCTGGACTCCAACAGGGAACAACGAGGACTTGTCTCTTTGCATCAGCAAGATCTGAAGTGATGCAGAGTGAAGGAAGTTTATGGATTCAGCTCCCCCATGTCTGCACCTAGTAGTAGAGTCTAGCTGAAGTAAATGAAAGAGATTAAAATATGAGCAATAATTCAGAACTTTCCAAGGTTGCCTTTTACAGAGAATAAAAGCACATTTCTGTACAAGATGCATTCCAGAACTATACTGGGGCAGTTCTCCACCTAACCTGCCTTCTCAAGGACAAAGATAAAGTGCTTGGGAAGTAGCAAATAAAATCTCCTCTGCTCTGCCTTTTCTTTTTTAATACTTTGTTAGGTAATATTTACTTGCCGCTTTCCAAACAGCTCTGTAGTAAATCACTGGCCACTGAAATTTACATTTGATAAATGGAGTACACTGAAAAACACACTGCTCATAAATTTGGACTGACATGTGCTGAGTGTTTCCAGTGCAAAGAAGAAATGCTAAAAAAAAAATAAATTAATTGATTTTCACCATCAGAAGGAGAAATGAGCAGTACACTTTAGTATACTGCTATTTGCCCTACCCAGCCTGGAAGTCAGCTATTTAATGCACAGCACATTTTTCTTTTTATTGATATGCCTAATGACCTTGTAACTCTTATTTATGTATTTTGGTACCAAGGGCAAGTACATTATCTGAGTGACAGATTTATTTCCTTTGAATGCCAGTGCTCACACAAACCTGAAAAGGAAAAGGTACTAAACTGCAACATTAAAGAAAACAGTTTAGCTCATCTGTAAATTCAGCACAAACAGTTATTTATCAGTGATAAATTCTCCACAGATGAAATCCACAGGGAACACAGACACCTGGCTTTGAAGGGAACACAAGAAGAAGAGGCAGCAGCAGCCTCAGGCCAGGTAACTCTCACTCTGTCTGATCCTGGTGCTCAGCTCTCAGTATGGGGCTGGCTGTGGTGTGACTTCCCCATCCATAATCCCTTGGGCTGCTTTCCACTGACACTCAGTCACTTCTTCCTTTTCCCCTCAGCCCAGCTTTGCTCTTTAAAGGGGCAACATCTACTGAAGAGGAGGAAAGAAGGAAGAAAACAGGAAATACTCCAGGAAATTTTTCTTCCTTAGAAGACGCTAAAATTTACCCCAAATTACTTATTTTTATTTTTTTTCCTGGGAATATGTAACTTTTAACACCAGCAGAAGATGTTTCCCTGGACAAGAATGGTATTTCCAATCCCAAAGAAAGAACTGGAGGTAGAGAACAGGGGGCAGGGAGTCAGATAGTTCACCAGGTGAACATCATGCCACCATTTTTCCACATCCCAAACAAATGTCACAGCTGCTCAGCTGTGGTCACTCCTTTCCAGGCCTCCTGGAAGGTCTCCTGTTTTACTTCATGAAGATTAGGTGCTGTCCAGTGGAGCACAGACATGACTCAGTGTCCCCACACCCTTTCATCACATGGCTAAGCACAGGGTGAAGTTCTTGTCTCCTTCCCTTCCAGCCTGATAATTACTTAAACTTACACTAAATGGAGGAGTTTCTGTAGTATAATCAAATACATGCATCCAAAACTGGGCAAGCTCCCAGCAGTTGAGAGGCATCATGTGAGATTTGAATGAATACTCCAGACTTGTGCTCAGAGGAGGATGGGATGTTCAGCAGCACCTTCTCCTCTCTGGACACACAGCTGAAAGGCACATGAGATGCAGAAAACCATTGTCTGCCTGCTTTTAACAAAGGGTGAAAGAATGAGAAACCTTTTACTGTGTCAGTCAGGTAAGAGAGAGGTGAGTCAGCGGCTGATCCTGAAACTGGTTGATTCCCCACCTCTTTTCATTCTCAAAACTGTACTTAATGACCCATTTTAACAGTAGCAGACAACACATTTCTTTCCACATCAAACTATGAAATTATGCCAGGAAAATAATTACATGCCTCTGTAAAGCATTTATCAGGCAGGATCCTTAAAGCATCTTACTGGGGGAAGCAAACTTTTTCTAACTGTGAACATAAAATGAAGCCCAAGGCCCTCCAAAGTGACACATTTCAGGCATTCAGAGAAAACTGCCTTCCCTATCTATGGCTTATCTTCTGGGATAACAACACATTTCCAGCCCAAGTTATTCCTCTCATATGGAGCTGCCAACAGTAAACGTGTATCTCAAGGTTCATTTACTGAGCTGGTGGAAGTGTTACAGCCTCTGAGCTGCTCCCCACAAGGGTGCACATGGCTGAAAATCCCACTCTGTCTTCTTTTCTCCCATGGGGAGACAAGCCCTTTAGAGCAATTTTTTATTGATATATGTATTTTTTTTGGCTTCACAGCATGCATTCATCAAACCTGTACTGTGGGGCAATAGCCTGGGCTCCATGGAAGGCCAGGAGCAGCAGCAAAGCAAAGTGTGTTCTCCTTGACTTGGTGCAGCCCAGGGACTCAGCTTTGCCTCTGTGAGCATCACACTGTGCAACATTTTAAGACATGATCAAGTAATTCCAAGAGACACTCAATTTATTTGCTAATTGTAGCTAATTTCTAATTTCAGCACTGCTCTTTAGGCTGCTATAAACAAAATTGATAGCAATTTAAATGTTACCATAGCCGTGTTACCTTAGCATTTTTACTGCTAATTATCTCAATCAACTTTTCTATAAACAGACATATTAAGTGTTGAGAAGAACAAGTACCCCCATCAGGAGTAAATTACAAACTGAGTGATAATGTTTGTGGCTTGCACTATAATGACTTACTGACATTAATTATCAGCTATTCCTGTACACCTGAGGTGTGGCTGTCCTACAGGAAAATGTTTATTTATGCAGCAGCCAGCTGGACATCACATTTTATGCATCAGAGAAAATCTGAGATGAGGCTGTGTCTTGTCTACCATGGCCTCAACTGTGCATCAGCAAAGTTCTCTGAAGGTAGGTTGGGTACATTAATTAGAAAGGCTAATAAGGTGCCAAGCTTTAATTCTTCCCAAGCAAGAATAAATTTTCCAAGGAAACATGTTTTCCCACATGTACCTTCTGCTGAAGATCAAAACCATCTTTATCAGGACTTACAAAAATTAAAGTTAAAGAGTTAAACAAGCCTGGACACTACTAAGTAGGAAGCAGAGCTGGCCAGAGTGCTGGGCTAATCAATTCCTAAATTTTGGCAATGTACATAGAGAGAACATTGCTGATGTCGTCTCCTGCTCTGCAGGTGAGACACATTTCCAACAGCATCATGTTCTGCAGAGCAAATGTCAGAGCTCTGAAATACCCTGGGATTTAATATTTGCCATTTTTAGCATTTTAAATATTGTTCCTGGGATTTAATAATTGCCATTGGCAAGAGAGTGGCTGCAGCTCCCAAGAGCCTCTCGCTGATTATAGGGAGGGCTCTTTCCTCTCTGTGGACTTGGTGCTCTGTAAATTGAATACCACTTTATGGTGTACACTGAAGTGACTGCACAGGGTTATTTAATTTGGTAGAGATGATCTCACTAAAAGCAAAATCAATAGGTAAAAATAAAAATGGCTTCAGTATGAAGGACAAGCTGGGAAGACAGTTTTAACTTTGAAAACTTAGACTGGAAGTAAAGATTGTGGTCCTTAAGAACTTTGTACCTTGCTGTAAATTTTGCAGTTTAAACACCCTGGTGCTCAGTGAGAGAGAAAAAGAAAAGTCTCAGATTCTCTGTTACAACTCTTTTTTCCATCAAATAGACCTTTGATTCAAGCATCTGGAGAGATGAAGTATCCCAGAATGTGTAATAGTGGAAAGAACACTTCTGTGTGATTTGCTTCCAAATAATCGCCCTTTGCCAACACTTTTGTTGTACCCTCTTCACAGACACACCAGTTCCATCCCTTCCTCTCAACACCACAAGTTTATAGATACCAAAGCAACTCCAATGGAGCGTGACCCAGCCACTTGCAACGTATTGGTCTCCACCTCTTTTAAAACCTGACTTTTCCAGGAGAGCTGGGGTTAGTCCAGCTTTTCTAATAATATAGAACATTGAGCAATTAATGAAATTGTCAGCACCCTGAGGCTTTGAGCCTGTTTTTCATAGGTAGCAATCTCTCTGGAGGTGTCACTGCACTGCACAGGTGACACTGCAGCAGCTTTGTGCTTTATCTGCTCGTGGAAATTTCAGTGACCCTTTCCTGACAGGAATAGTCACAGTCTACATCTTCCAGCAGTAACAAAATGGAAGGAACCAGCTTCAAAACACACCTGTGGGAGCAGGGTCCCTCATTTCTGACATACCCAGCAGAGGATGTCACCTGGCACTGGTGCCACAGGCAGCGTTTCAGACGGGATGTTCTGCACATCCTGAAACAAAAGCCTTGTGCTGGAGCAGGGCTCTGATGTTTTATG